GCACACACACGCGCAGGCATGTACACATACACACAAACACGCACGCAGGCACGTACACATACACAGGCACGCACACAAGCGCGCAGACACATCTGCTCAATGTGTGCCCAAGGGCTGCGGGGGGAAGCATCTCTGTGGCCCAGGGAGTGGCCTGTCCAGCTGCGGCCACGGACATGGAGGCGGAGGTCACTGCCGGACCAATGGTCCCACCGTGGTGGGCTCCAGTACAGCTTCCCCAGGACAGCCGGACCCACAGCCGGTCTCAGCCCTTGGTTTAGGGGCCGTTTCCTTTGACCTTGGGGGTGGGGGTGTGGGAGGTGGCAAGCAGGGTTTCTCGTGGGCCTGCCCGTGGTTGCTGTGTTGAAGACTCTGGGGGGTTCTGGCTCAGTGGAAAAGGGCCCAGCTGGGGAGTCACTTGTGCCTCAGCCTCTCGCTGGGCTGAGCAGGGCCAAGGGAGGAAGCAGGATCCAGCATTCCTCCCCACACGCATGGCAGAGGCTACGTCTTCAGTCTTTCAGATCTCACGGTCACTGGAACTAGGCTCAGCTGCAGGTCGTGACAGAAACCCCAGCACCACGGCCAAGGCGTCAGTGATCCAGCCGTCTCTCAGGACAGCAGGCCTGGGCTCAGCCTCTGCTGCACCGTCCCTGGAACACCAGCTGTTCTTTGACTCCCAACCGTAGGGGGCCTGCTGCAGCTCCAAACGTCACATCCCCATCTGGGGGGACTCAAGGCATCTGGAATGGAAAAGGCAGGGGGCCCAGCTCTCCTTGCGTGCCTGTCACTTTCAGAGAGAAGACTGAAGACTCTAGCAGGCCCCACGTCTCGATGGGAGAAGCTCACTACAGGCCACCCTGGCTGTGGAGGGTGGGGACCTAGGGCAGACTGGGGTTGTCCCGACCATCTTCCCTCGAGCTGAGTGCAGATCCCACAACAAATCTAGTTATGTTGGCATGGAAAAAAGGGTAGGTGGGACACCAGGAAGACCAGTCTGTGCTCCCCACAGGCTCCTGCTGACCACAAACATCACTCACTCACTACAGAGAGGAACGAGGCCACGGCATCAACTCCCCGCGCCCATGACCTCTTCCTGCAGAGCCTGGGGCTGTCACAGCTGGGACCTCAGTGCAGCACTCCCAGAAACGGCCAGCACAGGGCCAGAGCTGCACCCTCAGGCCCGCATCTGAGATGGGCACACGTGGCTCAGCCCTCAGGCCGACTCTTGTCATGGACAGTGGGCCCTCGTCGTTCTGGGGAGGGTCCTGCACCCTAAGCTCCGGCCCAGGAAATGCTGAGCAGAGTCAGGAGACACCAGGAACTGCCAAAAGGATGAACTCACAGGCCTCGGCAAGCCCCAAGTTAGAGGATTATACAGTGATGGGGCTTTCTGGGAGGTGGGTCCGGCTGGGGCTGGAACCTGTTTCCTGCCCCACTGGCCGCCCTAGAGCCTTGGGCAGCCCCTCGTGTCTGCTGCCCCCTAAGGGTAAAAGATCGGGGTGGTGAAGGGTGCCAGGGGACAGGACCCCTCCTGCAGCTGTAACACCTCGGTGTTCTCGATCCTTCCAGAACCACGCTGGCTTCTGATTCTGTCTGGCTGCAGCCTCCGCCCCTCCTGCAGCTGCAGCACCGTAGGACTATGGGATGCACCGGTTCTGTGCACTATCAGTCAGCTGTGCTAGGACTGGCTCCAGCTAAGCCCTCCCCCCAGACTGGGGTCTTGGTCTGAGTGGTCCATTCACCCCAGACTGTCCCCTGATCTTTGCCACATGGGCCCTCAGAGCTGCCCTGGGCACTTTTCTTTGCAAAACATGCTTCTGGGGCTTCACCTTCAATTCTGGGCACTGCCCTCAAGTTCTCTAATAAAATTATTTTGGCCGGGTGCAGTGGCTCGCGGATGTAATCCCAGCACTTTGGGAGGCCGGGGCGGGTGGATCACGAGGTCAAGAGATTGAGACCGTCCTGGCCAACACGGTGAAACCCCGTCTCTACTAAAAATACAAAAATTAGCCGGGCGAGGTGGCGGGCGCCTGTAGTCCCAGCTACTTGGGAGGCTGAGGTGGGAGAATGGCGTAAACCCGGGAGGCGGAGCTTGCAGTGAGCTGAGATCCGGCCACTGCACTCCAGCCTGGTGACAGAGCGAGACTCCGTCTCAA